TGGCCTCCACCCTGGAAGCGATGCCTGGCAGCGATGGCCTCCAAGCTAATAGCGATGGCCTTCAACCCCAATAGCAACACTTGACATGAGGTCACCCAGTCACCCAGAAGCATTTAGTCACGAAGTCTCGATGGATGCCACGAACTGCAGGTGGCGCTCATCACAGTTGAAGAAGAACGGCTGCTGAGGTTGCGTCCGGGGCCATTTGCAATTCAAGACCAGCGAAAGTGTTGAGGATAGGTTGGAGGAGAGAAGGGATAGCTTCGAAGCAGCATACATGCTTTGTTGGAATGTGCTTTCCAGACCACATAAAGATCAGAAAGGCAAAGCCTGCTCCTCTTGTTTTGCACATCTAGCCAAAGTCGTTACAGGCCATCCGTGAGCAACCCTGAAGCAAGTTTTTGTGAATTTTGTGCAGTGATCTGTACCTTTTTGCTCAGGTCAGAGCAGGAAGAACGAAATGACTGCCCGGAATATGCTGGGTGCTTGGCACCATGGGCTGGTGAGCTATGCATCAACAGGTGTTTGATTGTCAACATTCTTGCATAGCTCCATTTATGACCATGTATGACCACAACTTGGGGTTTGACTCGATTTGACATAGACTCTTTGAAGACACTCAGGCCAATGCTCCTGGAAGATGACTATACCTCACCTGAACGCGTGCGTGCGAGGCTCAGAGTCTGAAAGGTCGGTGTCCCAAATGACTTCGAGCTCTTCAAGTTTGTCGGTCCACAGACTTCCGACAAAGAGTTGGGCCCTACCAGATCCTACCAGTACGTGTCCCCACTTATCAATCAAATGTATTATCCTTTTGTATCCTTTCGCACCTTTTGTATCCCAAATTCTTCAACACATGTCATTTGTGCAAGTCACCCTGAAAACGACCGGTTCGCTTGCAATAGCTTGTGGGGAGACGGTCTTGAAAGTCGTCAGACGCTCGCCGCCGCGGCGGCGAGGCGCTCGTCGCTGCAACAGCCCAGGTCAGGATTTGGAGCTCACGTCCGGAGCCCCAGGTAGTGGGGGATCGTTGGTTTTGTGGTGATGCACCTGGACCTCGTGGATGCACTATTGGGTGCGTCAAGACACTCACAAGTAGATCAGTTTTCTGGGCCGGGACATGCCGGGACTATGAGCCTGGAGGTGGCGATACCTTTGTTTCTTTGCCTTCCATGTGTTTGGTGTGTGTCAACTCTCACACCACCTGCTGTGGTCATCTCCCACTTTACCAAGTGTGACATTTCTCTTCTGTTGATGTGGCTCCTTAGAGAGCACCACAGCGACCCTCTTTGGGCAGAGTGGGAAGGTGTGGATTTGATGTTCACTCAAGGTCTCCTTGGAAACACCAGAGCTGTGCCCGTATGGGGAGCACTCTTTGAGTCATAACCGACCATGGGAGGAACTCCTTCCATCCAAGGAAGGAACTACAGCAGCAGAATTCACATTGGCCAGAAGCAGTCGACATGACGTGAGCAGAGCTGCTTTGATCAACTAGGTGTATGGTAGGATCGCCCTACTTTGTTACTTCATCCTTTTCTGGACGGACTCTTTCTAAGATAACGCCCCGCATTTGTCGGTTCGATTGTTTGCGTGGATTGGTTCAGAGGTGGCAAGTTGAAGATGGTTGGAGTATGATTGGAGAATTAATTCAAGCAGTCAGCTGAGTGCAATTGTGCAGGTACTTGTCCCCAGAGGAAAGCGCATCGCTTCTCATCCGCCAAGCCAGAAACTTGGGATCAGCATCCAGGCAGCGTTGTCCAAAGCGCCAAGAAAAAGACACCAGGATTTGTTTGGTAAGCAAACAAGGGAAAACAACGCATTGGCGGTGCTATTCCAAGAGTTGACCAGGGAGAATCAGGAAGAAAGGCAAAAGTGGCAAGGGGCGTAGGGGGGAACCTGACCACATTCCTTGTCAAATTTATTCGACAGACTGTGGGGCAAAATGTCAGTCAACCTTAAATTCCCACATCAATCACACCAATATATACGCTAGAGTAGACGTCAGTAGACACTATCCTTTTTTATGACGGCACTGAAATGCACTGAATGCCACAAGCAGGGCCTGACTGATCAAGAAAGGGAATCCTGGCAGATCATTTCTTTTGGATCCTTGTGGGGGCAACTCGAACTCAGGTCAAACAGGGCAAGGCGGCTATGAGGCTTTCAGCCAAGTGACCAGACTGCCAAGATTTGCCAAGTGGGGAACGCGTCAAGAGAATGCCTTCTGGCAAAACAATGAAATAATAAGAAAGAATACCCATGGTTCTGAGTTCTGAGGGTGACAATCTTCAGATCAACGCATTTCTTTGGGAACGGTGCAGATGATTGATGAAAGCAAGCCATCAGTGCTTCCGCGTTTCTTTGGAGCCAGCAGTGCTGCCGTAAAAGTCGGATCACTGCCTGCACAGATGGGTCCCTTGGACTCCTGGCGAACATCCCTTGGACTCGGCGCTTTTTGCGCCCAAGGGATTCTTGGTTGAGTCATTGTAGGATTATTGTAGGTTAGGCATGCCTGCATTCCTGTGTGTCGGCAGGGTGCACTTCGTGGTCTAATTTTGGACCCTCCAGGATGTTCGATCTGCGGCATTCTGCGCACAGTCCTTGCGCAGCTGGAAGCAGATTTCAGGGGCATAGGTCCATGACAGTCGCTGTGTCCTTACAGTGGATACTTCGAAGATCCTGGAGGTTTGCGGGAAATGCCAATGGGCGACCGACCGCAACGGAGGATTTGCCTCCCCAACAGCTCCGCTTTGTGGCGCAAGGCGACAGGGTCAGGCCAGGTGAAACACGCAAGACCCGGCACTCCTTCGAGAGCCAAAATGCGCAGGATTCATGGGTGTGTGAGATTTGTTGTGGGTAGATGCTAGGACGGAAAAGGTTTCAACGTACAGGCTGTGCTCCTGGTCCTGCTTTTCCTACGCTCACAGGAATGTCTCACTGAGTCGCCTGCCTTAGCCATTTGTTGGCTCGGAGGAAGCTTGTTTGATCAAGTGGTGCCTTAATCTCGGTCGCATTGAGCTAAGCCCTGATAGCCTTGAGAAGGATGATGCATATCCTCGCTCTACTGATGCTTGGCAAGTCGCTCGCTCCTTGTATGGGTAGCACGGCTGGTGCCCAAGCTGCGCATTGTGTATCAGAAGTTAATCCCAAATGATTTTGGCACGGTCTTAGACGGTTCCACCAGTGTTTGAGCCCCTGAGGTGCTGGCTTCGTTCAGTACAAGCGCAAGCTCAGTCAGACGGTCGGTGACGACTTCTGCCAAGGGAAGACAGGGCTTCACGCCGCACCGGCGGGAGCTGAAGGCAATGAGGACTGCCGGGGCTACTACAACTGTTGGCATGGCAATGAAGCCATGCAGCTGTGTGGCTCGGGCTTGCGCTTCAACCCAGCGACCAAGAATTGTGACTGGAAGGACAACGTGCTTTGTGAGGTGATCACAACTGTTTCCCCTAGCACAACCGTGGCGCCAAGCACCACAACCCCCAGCACCACAGGGCAAGGCACTACAACATCTCCCGCAACGACAAGCAGTTCATCTACAGATCCGTCGGAGTTCTGCCAAGGGAAGACTGGCTTGTATGCCGCCCCTGTGGGCATGGTGGGCAATCTAGATTGCAGGGGGTATTTCAACTGCTTCCATGGAAACGAACCAATGCAGTTGTGTGCTGAGGGCCAACGCTTCAACTCCAATCTCAAGATTTGCGACTGGAGTGCCAATGTCCCCTGTACAGACACATCCACCACAGATGGCGGCACCACCACCACTACCACCACCGCTGCTCCCTCAACGACATTGTCAACCACGGTTGGATCCACAACTGTCTCCACGACGGCTGCATCCACAACTGTCTCCACGACTGTCTCCACAGCGGCCTCAACTACTGCTGGGTCTACGACGGTTTTCCGGCAGGAAGATCGAATGGTTTGTTGTTTTTAAAACCCACGTCTTGCAGGTGCATCCTGATGTATGGGCCTTCCGAAAGCGTTCAGAAAGATGTAGTAGGTAGTAGAGCAGCTTGACCAGAGCAAATGAAGCAGGCACCAAAGTGCAGGAATGTATAGATACTGTTTCAGCGCGAGTATGCTCAAAAACGCTGTGGAAATCACACCTGTTTCATCCTGTTTCCATCATTTGTCTCTGAAGGTCTCCTCAACGACCGGTGGCAATAGTGGAAAGATTTTTGTGGCCTACTTTGCCAATTGGTTCCAGTGGTGGCCTGAGCCCTATAAGTTCATGCCCTCCGACATCCCGGCAGACAAGATCACCCATCTCAACTATGCCTTCGCCATGATCCACAGCAGCACCTTTAAGATTCGACACTTTGAAGACAACGATGTGAGCAATTGGGGCACTGGTACTTGGGAAACACCATGTAGCCAGCAATCTGAGTGGTGTTCGAAGGGCCTTTACGAACAGGTGCGGAGGAGCAAACCAGCGAAAATCCACCAACATCTTGAGTTTTTGCAAGGATGTGGACCAGCAAAAGCCCAAAGCAAGTCAGACTTCCCAAGCCCAAAAGGAACGATTTGAGGAGATTGTCACATGAAATGCAGCACCAGACACTGGTCCTTCACTGTTTGTTTTTTTCCAGGTGAACGACCTGAAGGCGACCCATCCACATTTGAAGACCTTGATTTCCATTGGAGGATGGTCCTTCAATCTTCCCGAGAGCGAAGATGCCGAAAGCGCCACGCGGATGAAGCGCCTGGATAGTGGCTGGAGCGAATACGTCTTCTCAGACATGGTGAGCACAGCCGAAAACCGACAGACACTAAGCACCTAAAAGAGTGCAATGTTGGGGATTTAGGAGGGTCAAAAGGTTCAAATGATGAGATCTGAGATTCCATGTTTGCTGTCGAGACCCACCTTATATAAGATATTATAAGATATTCGGGGGATGATGTTTGTCTGGCACTTGCTTGGGACAAAGGGTTGGACTTTGCCAGCACCCGGCCAACGACCAACATGACAAGGAGGTGCTTCGGTTGTTTCAGGAATAGCTCTATATCGCATGATATGTTGCTTTTGTTTGCTAATTGGTTGGAGCTCATACTGTTTCATCGCTACCAGGAGCGATCGGACGCTACTAGAAAGTAGTTGCTTCACGGCCAGGGGTGATCGATGTTGCCGGCCGCACGGGTAGTAAACCCGCTGCTTGCGGCTCCGTGGTCCGAGGAAGTTTGTGGACTCAGCCATCGACTTTTGTCGCACCTGGGGGTTTGATGGCTTGGACTTGGATTGGGAGTATCCTGGTTCCTCGTCATTGGCTGGGTCATACTCGTTGAGGGAAAAGCCTTGGAAGACCATTTGGCTTGGGGTGCAGGGTATCTTGGTTCCCGGTCTTCCATAGACTTCCTTGGTGATGGCCTGGCTCTAAGTCTTTGTAGGCCGGTTGCCCTCTCAAAGACCTGTTCATTCTACAGGCGCTTGGCCCATGGCCCACCAACAAAAAGTGCTAAAAATTCTGCAGCTATGACTTGGGCATGTTCAAAAACCTTTGTGGCGGTTGTAGAAAGCAACACACAAAAGGTGCTAATATTGAGAAGCTAAGTAGTTCTTCAAGACAGCAGGAACAAAGCTTTGGTGACAGATAAGGGCGTGTGCAGTTCGCGAAGGCTGCACGTGTTGGATCTTGTTGGTAGTTTTGAAGATTTCTGAAGAATGCTTTCGTGCGTTCCACACCCACCGGCAGATTCCATGTGGCATTGGGACCTATCTGAGGAGCTTGTCAACAAGATTGCAAAACCCTCCTGGGTTCCCAAGGAATCTAGCAGCTAGTTGCAGCTAGCAGCCTTACGAAAGGAATCTGCAGAATCCAATGGCGCAACTTCAACCAGATGAAGGAACCATACACCCATCATTCAATGGTGTGGACTTTCGCAGGGGGACACATGTGGCTCGGAGGGCCCACCGCTTGGCTGTGCTCAGGTTACATCGGCCGTGGGGGCCGCACCACCGACAAGGCCAACTTCGCTCTGTTGCTCTCAGAGCTCCGCAGTGCCTTCGATGCTGAGGGATCCGCCACGGGGAAGGCGAGCGAAAACGAAGACCGAAGACCGAAGGCGAAAGCTGTGTTGGGCTTTGCAAACTCTTGGAGTCCAAAGATTAGACCCCGGTCGTTTGGCAACGGCGAAAGCTGAGAGGATCTTCATGACTTCATGGGATGTTTGAGATATTTGCTCAGTTCAGGATGTGAGCCACAATTTGGAGTTTCTTGGAAACGGGGTGTTCCCGCAATTGTTGAAGGCACCCCTCTTGCTGACAGCTGCAGTGGGCATTGGACCAACAACTGCGGACAACGCCTACGACGTGCCGGCCCTGAACCAATACTTGGATTTCATCAACTTGATGACCTATGACATGCCGAATGCTTAGTTTTGTGGTTACATTGCATGTAGTTCTCAAAATCCAACAGTCTAAAGGAGCTCATTTGAGTTGCAGATTAAGGACGCTACTAGGAACAAAGAAGCTCCTGGCATTACCACTAGGAACAAGAAGCTACGAACGTAACAAAGGGCATCGCTATGAGTCCGGAGCAAGAAACTACGAGGCCCGGGGCGCTCCTGGCATTGCTAAGGTCGTAGCGAGGATGCTAAGGTCGTTCTGTGTGTCCAACGAAGATCCTGTGTCGTTCAGTGACCGTCCGAGGTATGGAGGCTGGAGCCCGGAGAAAACAGCCATTCACAGCCAACTCTATGCGGGCCCAGGCGCGTGGTGATGGTGTTTTGTTGGTTCGGAAGGATGGTTCATGAAAGGCTGAGCCTGTGGTGTGGAGTGCTGGTTTGAAAAGCATGAGGTTTGAAATGAAACACGTTCCAAAGGGATGTGGGATTACTGTAATTGTTTTTGTGCTAGGATTTAATCAATTGTAATCATGTGTAGAGATGTGTGTTCCAGCTTTGCCGGCAGGGGAGTTTGAGATGTCTCATTTCATTCATTCGCACCTCCATCCGCTTCAGGTGATTCCTTCGGAGATGGAGTTCCGCTGAGTGGTGAGTATGCAGTGAATGACTGGATCAGCCGTGGTGCCAGCGTCAACAAGTTGGCCCTGGGCCTGGTGACCTATAGTCGTAGCTTCCAACTCCAGAGTAGTGCTGCTGGTCAGGGCCCCGGCGCTGCAGGAGTGGGATATGGTGCTACCCAACCCTACAGCAAACAAAAAGGCCTGGCCAGCTACTATGAGATCTTGACCTTGATCAGCCAAGGAGCATATTGCGGTATGGGGTCATGACAATGCTCCCATGTTGCCGGAAAAAGATAGAAAGATAGTGAACACAACTCCAAAAGTTTTGATAGATGAAGATCATTGAAGACACCTTTTCACAGCTGATGCCCTCGTCAGACCATCTCAAGACCCCAGCATGTTAGAACTCATCAGGAGCCCAGAAGTCTTACGATGCATCTCGTTGTGGGGCCTATCTCCAAAAGGATGATCTTTGGATGGGTTACTTGGCCTTACTACTGGGAGCAAGGACGCTACTAGGGCCACTAGGGGCTCCTGGCATCGCTACTAGGAACAAGAAGCTACTAGTAGCTCCTTCCCCTTTGGATGGGTTACTTGGCAGTGTTTGTTTTTGGATTGTGGCATCGGTCAATCCAGCGATCCAGCGAAAGCGGCTCGAGTCTTGCAGGGTTCCGTGTTCAATGGGCCAAGGCTTCCCCTCCCCACGAGCCAATGGCAGTTTACCCTAATAACGATGGCCTCCAACCTTAATAGCAATGGCAGCCTAACGGCAATTCTTTTGTTACTGCTTTAGCTGAGGTTTCGATGACGAAGAAAGCGTACGATGCAAAGCTGCCTTCATCAAGGAGAAGGGCCTCATTGGCGTCCCGGCGACAACAGCGTGTAATCAGTAGCGAAAGGATTGTAGTTCCTGGTAGCAGTTGCCGATTGTTTGGAGGAAACAACTGCACCAATTTTTGGGACTTCACGTCACTGCTTGTTGTAATTCGGGCTCACATGCTATGACTATTACTTCTGACACATTGGTGATACCATTCAGTAAAGTATTGCACGTTTGGTGACTAGAAGCATTCTCCACCTGACAGCATCATGTAGGTTTTAGACTGTTCCTGGTATCTTCCAGATGCTCAACTCGGAACCCCGTCTCATTGCCCTAGAAGCGATGGCCTCTAACCTACTACCGATGGCCCTTCATGCCCAACTCGGCTTCAGGTGGCTTGATGTGGGATCTCCCAGAAGATGACTTCCCCAACGGGTCGCCCATCACGACGGCCTTCAGCCAAGCGCTGGGGCTTTGACGGGCTTTGAGCAAGCCGAAGGTGTGGGTGGCCTGCTAGGCTGGCAGCCTACGGCTTCACCTTTGTTTTTCGATAAATTCTTGATTGTTGATCAGCTGCTAGTCCACTTTCAGAAAGGAAAGTGGGATTTGCAAGTTGTCAAGATCGATGATTGTGCATGTTTTGATTTTGGCGCCGGCACTCTGACTAAGACTATTCGTGACCACTTGTAAACTCAGGGCTTGCCTGGTGCTCGTGGTACACGTGACTGGCCTGGTAAAGTGGATCCAGTCTCTTGCACAGCCCCCCGGGTCACTTTCCATGGTTACACCAACCATGGGGGTCACCAGGGGGTGCCGGAACGGGAGCGGCGCGTTTATGCATGAATTGAATTTGATAACAGTACAGGTACAATATATATATATATATATAGTTTGTTCGTATTGGTGATCTATCTTTGTTAAATAGACCAGCAACAGCGTAGACCTCTATGAAAGGATTAGCTAGGGCTTAAGATTGTGATGCATGAATTGATATTTGTGAAAGGTTGGCGAAAAAGGGTTTCAGCATGATTTGGCCACGGCAGAGTGAGCTTAACTACCCCTATGTCAAAATCTGGGTTTGGGAAGGTTTGGGAACGTCTGGGTGGTGCGTGGGGTGGTGCGCCGGGTGGTGCGCGGGGTGGTGCGTTAGGTCGTGCAGGATTCGCGGGGAACCGCAGCGAATTCCAAAGCACCCTTGCGCTTTTAGTCTACATACGAGCAGAATAATGTTGACCTTTGATTAATAAATGTACTCTCAAATTCTCAAATTTTGAAATTCTTAGGAACCCTAAATAGAGTTCATCCCAAATTCCAAGAAATAATTATGTATATATACATATATCCAAATGACATGTCCCTTGACTAAAAACAAATATTAAAATAAAGGTGAATCAGTATTTAAGTTAATTCAAAATCAATTGAATTTGAATTGAAATTGAATTTAAATTCAATTGAATTTAAATTGATTTAGAATTGAATTTACATTTTATTGGAATTGAAATTGACTTGAATTTAATTGGAATGGATTAGATTCTATTTAGGTTTTGGTTGCTGTAGTAAAATTCTTTAGCTTTATTTAGGGTAGAGTTTATTTAGGGTTTGGCGGCTTTATGAAAATTTATTAATTTTATTTAGGATAAACTTGTTAGGATTTAATGGTTTTATGGTGATAACCTTTTCTAGAATGGTTTTATAAAGAATTCGTGTTAGAAGGTTTTGTGGTTTGATGATGAAGGATTTAATGGAGAAGGAATATAAAGAATTAATCTATATAAGTTTAATTAATATTTTTTGTAAACCAAATTCTTTAATTTTATGGATTTAATGATTTGATGAATATTTATTAGTTTTATTTATAGTAAATTTTATTTAGGGTTTGGTGGTTTTATGCAAATGTATTAGTTTTATGTGTGATAAATTATATTTAGGGTTTGATGATTTTATGGTGATATTTTTTAGAATTGTGTTATTTGTATAAAAGATTTTTTTTGAAAGATTTTGATGTGTAGTGAATAAGTTAAATTAGAATTGAATTAGAAAAGAATAATTGAATTGGAATAACATTTAATTGAATTATGATTAATTGAATGAAGATTATGATTGAATGAATAAATTTATTTGGTTTTATTTAGGATTCGATGGTTTTATGAAAATTCTTTAGTAAGATTTAGGGTAATGGTGTGGTGATTTTAGGAATTTATTGTTTATACTTAGGGTAGATTTTTAGGGTAAAAATTGGATTTAGAAATTATTTCGTTATATTTAAAAATGGATTCGTTATATTTATAAATTTATGGATTTTAAAAATATTTTGTCGTATTTTTGTCGTATTTGGAAATTAATTTCGTCGTATTTAGGGATTATTTGGTTATATTTAGAAAGTATGATCGTTATATTTGGAAATTGATTTTTATAATTATTTATTTTATAATTTATTTAAATTGTTGTATTTAGGATGGAATTGAAATAATTATATGGATTAATAATTTTGCGGGGAAACGGAGGGAATGGGATAGGGACATTAAATTTGCGTGGACATTAAATTTTATATGGATAATTGCATAATTTTCGAATGTAATTGTTTTAATTTTCGAATATATTTATGTAATTTCGAAATATAATTGTTTTATTTTCGAATATAATCGCCGAATTTCCGAATATAAATATGAGTAGATTTTTTGGGTGGGAAGAATGGTTTTGAATACATTTTAGTAATATTTATATAAATGATTTAGAAAGTATTGTGGGTTTATTACGAAAGGAATTGAATTCATATTACATAAAAGGTCTTAGAGGCAAAACAAAGCTACTTGTATGATTTGTTTGATTTCTTCTGTCGATGTTATAAATTATGAGAATTTATTGCACCGTATCTCGGAGGAATTAAACCAAAGTGGATGCCATAAGAGATGCCCGAAAGGTGTCCTAGAGGTGTCCGAGGGGGGATATTAAATTTTTATGTGATGCGGCGATCCCGAGGATTCTAGCCCCTTACTTGCTAAAGCAAGGACAACTCCAGCTAATATGAAGATCATAGATAGGTAGCTTGACGTGATTGCTTTCATGCATGAACCCGCACCGTAGCTTGACTCAAGCGACTTGCGTTGGAAACACCGCGCGTTTTCGTTGCGCTTTTTACAGCGTTTCTTTCTAGCTTACGCTACCTTGCGCGCTCCGCATTGGTAGCGGAGCTCCTGATTTTCGATCGATACGAACTTTCTCAGGCAGCGCCTGCTCGTGTACAGTATGTACAATTGCAATCACGTCAATACACTTTTCTGGCTATGTGAAGATCATAGCTAGGTACAGAGAGGTAGCTTGACATGATTGTTTTCATGCATGAACCCGCACCGCAGCTTGACTCAAGCGACTTGCGTTGGAAACACCGCGTATTTTCGTTGCGTGTTTGCCCCCGCGTTTCTTTTTAGCTTACGCTACCCTGCGCGCTCCGCAGCTAGCTGGTACTAGCTCCATGGAGGTTTTGGGATACGGTGCAACAGATTTAACAAGCTCATAGGTTCGTGAACATATCGAATGCATCGAACAGTGCGCTTCCTTAATTGTCGGGGACTTCAATTCGAAGGTTGGCTATGTCATTGTTATTTATGTGTCTTACATATTCACAACGCTTTACCTCATGAACATTTGCCTCACTCCGCTTGATGTCCCACCAGTCCGGATGCACCCCTGCTAGCTTTTGTCACCTACCCTCGACCTCAAGTAATTTAACGATGAAGGATTTAATTAATGGAAGAAAAACATATTTAATAAAATTTTAATATATTTATATTATATTATTTTAATATTTTAAATATAATTAAATTAATAGAATTAAAATTAAATTTATATAAAATTAAAGAATTTCATTTATTGAATAGATATATTTAAAATATTATTTAAATAATTGCATTAATTTATTCATTAAATCATAATACAACATTTGAGGTCGAGGATAGGTAACGAAAACTAGTAGGATAAAATATATAATATCGTCTAATAATAAAGGATTGATGGGACATCAAATGGAATGAGGCAAATATATATTTTTCTTTTTTTTGATAGGCTAGGTTCAAGGTCTCGCTTATGAGGTAAAACGTTGTAAATATGTAAAATATACGAATAATAATGATATAGCCGACCTTAGCTTGTGAATCTGTTGAATCGTATCCCAAAATTTCCACGGAGGAGTTGAACCAAAGTGGATTCCATAAAAGGTGTCCAAGAGGTGTCCGTTCCAGAGACGTCCCAATTAAAAAAAATAAAACCTTTATATAGGAAATGTTCACGTAATATGGCGAACTCGAGGATTCCAGTCCCTCATTTACCAAATCAAGGACAATTCCAGCTAGTTAATGCTAACTTTCATGATAAATAATATATTATTCGAATTGTCCACACGTGACTTCGGCGGTCGGTCGAGGGACTTCCATGCTCGAGTGAAAGGAACGCCCGATCGTAGTTCCTCAGGGGAGGAATCTTGTACTCCGCAATTGGTAGCGGTGCCGGGTATCCCGGCTCCCGCCATGGCTGCTTGATTGCACGACCTCTCGGTGGAGGTCCTCACACGTGACATGGCTGCAGCGGCTAGCGCGTCCGATAGCGCTGCGGTTCGAGGGTTTTCAGGTGAAAATGAAGATGGCCGCGAATATAAGCGGTGGAAGACCTGGGTTAAAAACAAGTTTTTGACTTTGGACAAGCTTCCTGAGAGCGCACGGGGCGCTTACATCTACACTCTTTTGAGTGGCAAGGCTCTGGAGGCGGTGGAACATGTTGATCCAGCGCTGTATCAGAAGAAAGATGGTGACCAAGTACTTTGGGAATTGTTGGACAAGAGGTTTCCACAGCTTGAGACTGTGGACGAGTTAGGGGAGATTCTGGGTCAGGTATTTCACCTTCGATCCAATGAAGGTGAGAATATGAAGCAATGGACTGCCCGAGCCTCGGAACTGTTCGATCGATGCTACCGGAAGACCGGTGTCCAGTTTCCCGATGAAGCTCGTGGTTGGCTCCTTCTCCATAGAGCTGGCCTTAGTGAAGAGCAGAAAGCTGTGGTGATTTCTAGAGCTCGAGGAGACTTGAAGAGAGAATCCATAGCTGCTGCCTTACGGTCCTGCTACCCGGAGTTGGTGATTATCAAAAGGCGTACCGCCATTGCCCTGGCGGAAGACGCTGACCCAGAAGCCGAAGATCCGTCCGACTTGTGGGAAGAGCACTTCTCCGATGTTGATCAGCTACTTGAGGATCACCAGCTGGCCTCAGATTTCACTGGTGATGGAGACACCTTTCAGGAGTCAGAAGTAGCAGAAGTCCTGGCCGCCACCTGGCGTGAACGTCGATAGGAGTTGAACAAGCTTCAGAAATCCCGACAGTTCAACAAGGCCAAGGACGTCCGAAGATCCTTTCGGGTGGAAGTGGAAGAAATGAAAAGGCACACTGCATGCAATCGCTGTGGTAGGAAGGGTCACTGGGCCCGGGAGTGTCGTTCCAAGGAGGTCAACAAGAAGGGCTCAGGGAAAGGTGCATCCTCCTCCTCAAAGTCCAATGATGCCTCGACCACAGGTATTGCTGCCGTTGAAGAGTTGGATTTTGTTGCATCAGTGGTTCCCCAACTCACCCTTCTTGAGCAGGTCCGACAAAAGCGGCAGGACTCCTTGTTTGCTTCGCATCCCCTCCCGGAAGAGTTCTTGTTGGTATCATCCCCCGGCTATGCCGTGCTGGATTCAGGCTGTGGCCGAACGATTGTTGGAATCAACACCCTTCGTTGTTTTGAGACCCTGTGGCGACAGCGTGGGTGGGCCGTCCCTCCATGGACGGAAGAGATCCACCAGTTTAAGTTTGGGAATGGTGATATTGAGACCTCAACCCATTCGGTGGCCATGCCAGTCATTCTGGCATCCAAGCGAGGAGTGATCAAAGCAGCAATCATCAAGGGGGACGCCCCCCTGTTGTTGAGCAGATCAGCATTGAAAGCCTTGGGGGCAACGTTGAATTTTGAGAAAGACTGTTTACATGTTTTTCAACAAGTGGTGCCACTCAAGACCAACAGTGCCGGACAGTACATTGTTCACTTGGTAGGACAGCCAGCGGATCCAGTGTTTGCTGCCTCTTTCGATGAGGTGATGGCTTCAGTGGAGGCTCCCGATGTTGAACCGGAGTCCAATACTGCACCTCCGGATTCAGCAGGCACCACAGCATCCGTGCCTGCCGACGAGATTGCCTGTGAACCTGATCCTGCCGCCCCTTCCTTGCTGACTTGGACCCAGGAGAATAGTGATGTTGTTAGTACACCGTGGTTGTCAAGAACTGGTCCCAAGTGGAATAGCGTTGTCCGTAGGAAGGTGATTGATTGTGAATCTAGGAGGGTTCTTGATGATGTGAGGGTCTATCCAGGGACACCCCAACATAAGATCATCAACCGTTTGCCAGGGAGATTCACTCATGTTCGAACGGTGTTCACGTTTGTGCCGCATCCCTCACGTGATGAGCATGGATCTAGTTTGAACCTGACTTCACATCAATCCCGACAGCTCGAATCGCAGGTCAAGACATGTTTAGCAGTGCATGCTCGGCCCAGGGGTAAATGTTTGGTTATGGAAGTGTTTTCCCCACCACGTTTTGCCATCCAAGCCGAAGAAGCCGGCTTCCGTGCGCGATCATATGACCTAAAGACCGGATTCGATTTTCGTCGTTCTCGGGACAGGAAGCTGGTGGAAGAGGATTTGATCACAGATCCGCCAGAGCTTTTGGTCTTGTGTCCGCCTTGCACGGATGAGAGCGGATGGGTGCACCTAAACAGCACTAAGGGCGATCGACTGGAATACCTGAAACGTCGAGCACAAAGCCGATCGTACATTCGTTGGTGTTGCAAGTTGTTTCGACTTCAGACCAGGAATGGTGGTAGAGCAATGTTTGAACATCCAACGGGTTCCCGGCTTTGGACATATCCAGAAATGCAGAGTTTGTGTAGGGTATTCGAAACAGTCAAGTTGCACATGTGCAGGTATGGATTGCGCCTGCCATCCAGTGAGCACTACATTCGTAAGAGCACCCGTCTGTTAGTTTCGCACTCCGATATGCAGTCTTTAGGACTTCTCTGTACAGGTGATGCTAAGCACAGCTGTCATGACACCGTAGCTGGTCATGCTCCAGGGGTTGCCAAGGTCAGCGAATATGCTGGTCAGTATCCTAGAGAATTTGTTCAAGCCGTGTTAAACACTCTTGCCAAGTTCAGGGAGAAGCATCCAGAACATGGTGCGTCTAATACCTGTCGAGCACACCCTGCGTGTCTAGTAGAAGTGCTAGAGGATGCTGTGCATCCCGACGCGTGGACTGAGATCCTAGCCGCCGCTCAGAGTCAGGCCAAGTCCGATCAGGAACTCATGCCAGTGTTGATTCGCCTTCATAAGAACGTGGGACATCCTCCAAACCATGACATGGTGAGAATCTTGGGTGAGAATCTTGAAACATGGAGACGCATCAGAACAAGCGCTCCGGCTGGCGAAAGAGTTTTCGTGTGACTTCTGTAAGAGCCAGGCTCGTCCCACATCGCCGTTGCCAACTCAACCAAATCGTGTGTCCGAGTTCAATCATCAGGTAGGAATGGATGTGAAGCACTTGAAGGGTTGGCTTCCCAATCAGAAGATTCGTGCCGTGAACCTGGTGGACACAGCGAGTGGGTTCCAGAGGATGATACCATTCTTTGAGACCGAGACTGCCTCAGTCCTTCGGAAGCTTTTGCATGAACATTGGATTGCCTGGGCTGGAGCCCCAAAGGAGTTAGTTCTCGATCCTGCTAGAACTAATTTAGGTGAACAAATGATGAAACCTGCCGAAGCAGATGGCATCCATGTTCGCACAATTGCTGCCGGAGCTCATTGGCAACTAGGCAAGTGTGAATCTCATGGCGGTTGGTTCAATCGAGTCCTGGAAAAACTCATTGATGAATTTCAACCGAACAGCAAGGAATCATGGTTAGAATGTGTAGCTCATGCCCATGTGAAGAACCAAATGCTTCAGGTCCATGGATTCTCCCCTCACCAATTCGTGTTTGGCAGAAATCCTCACATCCCTCAGGACTTGTTGAATGAGCCACAATCCGTGATTGCTAGCACCGCAGCCTTAACTGATGAAGGCCTTGCTCGTGCCCAAGCGATGAGAACCGCCGCTCGTGTTGCGCTCGTGAAGATGCAAGATGACAGGTCACTTCGTGTTGCCCTGTTGGCCAGACCCCGCACAAGCACTCCTTTCCAACCTGGGGACTTAGTCGCTTATTGGAGGAACCAAAAGTGGGTGCAAGGAAATCTCCAACAAGGGGGTCAGTGGTATGGGGTAGCGGTGTTGCTAGGCACGGTGGGTCGAAATCTAATTCTAGTACATCGTAGAAATGTGATTCGGTGTGCACCTGAGCAAGTCCGTCATGCCACTAATGAAGAGAAGTGTTTGATTGCCACACCAGAGACAGAGTTGCTTGGGGTCAAGGACATGATCACTCAGGGAAACCTGAAAAGTAAGCAATACTTAGATCTTGTTCCTCAATCATATCCACCACAAGAAGGTAATGATGACATAGCCCCGGCCGATCCAAGCCATGCTCCAGTTGCTGCACCCGAATCACCCGACGTTCAAATGCAGGCTGATCGACCATCAGCGAGTGTTGCACCTCCTCGCCAGGTTGAAAATGTGTCACCGCCGGAGGAGCCACCAGATGACAGTCTGCCACTCTCATCAAGCGATGGCAATGGTCCAGCCGAAGTAGAAGCACCGTCCGAAGTAGAGAAACCTGATAGTACAGCTCATTCATCGTCGGCTTCCTCATATGGTCCCATTCGTAGAAGAGTGACAGGTAAAGATGAGCCGATGACACTGTGGCGTCCGGCTGCTCTAAACCAGGATGATTTTGTAGATGTGATGCGTGAAGTGGTCCCTCAACTGGTCGAAGATGTAATCATGAGTAGAGATAAACGACCTCGTTCTCCAGAAGCCGCTTCGTCAGAGCCGGAAGCCCAGCGTCCTCGAATGGAGGAGGCCCTGTCAGTGCAAGAAGTGTCATCTCTGTTGGACATCGCAGACACCCAACCCTGGGAATGCCTCATGTCAGAGTATCTGAAGAAAAAGATGTCCAAGGAATTGCATCATAGTAACAATCCACCCAAGCTACAACAGAAGATCCAAATGGGGAAACGAACGGAGTGGGAAACCATTGTGTCCAAACCACATGCAGTCCGGATTCACTATGGTAAAGCCGCTAAGAAGATCAAAACGGAACAACCACATCGTTTTATCGGAAGCCGATTCGTGTTGACTAGGAAGCCACTTGAAGAAGGGGTTGAAGTCGACCCAAACAACTGGGACACTTTCACTGTGAAGGGCAGGTGGTGTTTGCAGGGTCACCTCGACCCAGATCTCACTGTGAAGGCTGAGAAGGGAATGCTGCGGTCTCCTACGCTGAGTCAACTCGGCCGGATGAGCCTTATGCAAGTGATTGCGTCCCAAGGTTGGGATTTGCAGTTAGGCGACATTCGCGGCGCGTTCCTCGAGGCCGGTCCCCTGGAAGAGTCGTTTAGGCCACTTTTCGCACACCAACCACCAGGGGGTATCCCTGGATTGCCAGAAGACGCAGTGATAGAAGTAACCGGAAACGTGTACGGGCAGAACGACGCCCCTGCGGCGTGGTTCAAGGAATTTAGTTCATATGTTAAGACCATCGGTTGGCACCAAAGTGTTCTAGATCCCTGCCTGTTTGTTCTTCGAGATCGTCGAT